TCAGCAGCACCCTCTGTGTTGTTCCTTCTGCCATGAGTAACTTCAGTGCTCCTTCAGATTGGCTTCTTCAAATTAATTTGCATCACAGTCAGAAAAGGGTTAAAAAAGTACAGATCAACCTGTTTCCTAATTTCCTTTCTTCCCACCAAATCCTTTACATTTAAGTTTAAAAAAAAAAAACCAAACCAAACCTCAAATAAAAATAATTCTCAAAGCTTCTTCCTGTGTCTACCTGCCCTAGCAGTAGTGAAGTACAGGTAGTATAAGAATAAACACTTGTTTCTCCCCCCAACCCCCTTTCTTTTCCAACAGGTCTCGCAAACATCACGTTCTAGGGTATTTGCCGGAGGGAAGCCGTGGGCCCAGAAGCCGCAGCAACTGCCTTCTGCTTGAGACGAGGTCGCCGCAGCGATGGGACTTTGCATGTGCCAGCTTCGGTCTGCGCGTCTGCGAGAGCGGCGCCGGTACAGACGGCGGTGGGCGCTGCTGATGGCGACTGTCCTGGTGGCTTTTGGTAGTTTTAACCAATCTTGTGTGCCCATTGTGAGCAATCGTGACGAGGCGAGAGTTGCCTCCCGTTCCCAGATACATAATGACGGACTTCCGTAAGATGTCAGTAATTCCTGTTTAAAAGCTTGCCTTCCTTAGTTTAAAACAGAAAGTAAAGTGTTCTTGGATTATATGATTTTCCTCGTTCGTCTTTTTGTGTCTGTGTGACGTGTATTTGTGCCAGGAAGCTGGAAGGACAACGCTGGTGAGCTGCGTTGTGGATGTCTCTGCACTGTGCACGGCTGATCAGGAAGGTTGAATTTTGTCCATTTCCGTTCTGTTGAGGTTTGGGGTTTATGAAGTGTCACCGTGTTAGCCGTCTCCAGGCGTCACTGCTGCTACAAGGCTGTCACTAGACGAGCTATGTTCTTGCAGGGGAAGGGTGAAAGAAGAAGGGGAGCCATGATTCTTGTTCAGTGATGTTCGGGAAACTGGGTGATGTTACAGTAGACTTCGTTTAACTGGGAAGGGCTTAGCTTGGCTGTTCAGCACTGGGATGGTGAAGGTAAGAAAGAAATTAATCTAAATTTGACCTGCTTCTGGTAGTATCCTTGCACCAGTTTCTCATCCTTCTTTCTTTCCCCTTAAAAGAAACAAAACAAAATCCCAACAGCAATGAAAGACCTTACCCTACTGTTTGAAATTGAGTCTTGCAACCTTCCTATGAGAAAAATAATAAATGTTTAGTATTTATAATTTGCCGAGTGTCTCGCTCATTAGAAATTACCTGTTTATGTCTGGCTTAGTGACTACCTTTTCCCCGCTCTCACCAAATGCCTCACCAAGAGTATTTTTTAAAGCAGTTGCAGGCATAAGCAACGTTCTCATACCGTATGTGACTTTCTGTAGCGGAAGAATACCTGGCTTTGGAAATAGTTGATGTGGGCTTGGACTGGTGATGTAGGGAAGGAGATGATTGAGATACCAGAAAATGTAAACAGTTCTTAGAAGTGACAGTCATAATTTCAGAAGTAGTAAAAAGGAACGGCCTTTCCTTCACTGCCCTCTGTCACTGATTTTAGTCACTGGTAGCTACAGGCTACCTGCTGTTCTGTTGAGCTGATTTCTTAAAGGACAAGACACACAAGTACAGTATTTGGTTAATGCTTTGCTTGAGCTTTGCCAAGTGTTCGTGTAAACTCCCTGCCCCAAAGGGAAGGGATGGACTGTGCAGTTATGAAAGGAGCTCATAACCTTTGCTTCCTAGATAACAATATCAATGGTGTGCTTATGCCTGCATGTTTTAGATGCTTTGGCTTATCTGTACCCCTCTTCCATGAAGAGGCGTGTGTGAGCTGTGGCCGCATTGGTGTTGACCCTTTCTCTCTGCAGATGCAGGAGACCAGAAGGGCACGTCTCGTTTTCTCGCCTTTCCGTCGAAGCTCTAACCGGGGCCTGCAGGGTTTGCCGCTCGGTGGTTTCCCCCGGCGGCTGCCTGCTGGAAGCGTCCTCGTCTCTGAGCCGTTCTGCTCCTTGGAGGCGGGGGCAGTGAGCCTGCTGCGTTCGGTGCCTGCGGCTGCCGGGGTTTGCCTTCTGCTTTCGCGCTGTTGTTACGTGGAGTTTTGGAATATTTTTCATCCCCGCTGTGCAATTGCTCTGTCCTACCCTCACATGGAGCTAAATTCAGTAAGGAGCTATGAATCTGTCTTAATTAGACCTCTGAGTCCTCCAAACCTACTGCCTAGCTAAACATGGCATTTGTGCCAGAGACCTGGAAGAAGAAAAAAAACCATCAAAACCCCATCATGCCTCCTTGCCCATCTCTGGTGTACGGTTTCCCCTGAGTTAACCTGCGTAGCTGCGCAGAGCCAGCTGTTCAGCTGGCGAAAAGAGGAATACCGGTGTGCAGCTACTCTCTTGGTGTCTGCCCCCTCAGAAGGTCAGTGCAAGAAACTCCCCTCTAAAGATCTGGAACCTTGGGTTTGAGTAAAGAAGAGTCTGATAACCGCCAGAAGACAAGAGTATCAGGGTCACAAGAGCAAAATTAAGTGGCTCAAACTTCCTCTGAAGCTGCCAGTGAAAATTTGTATCTGCAGTCCCTATTTGGAGCATAAAACCTGAGAGGGATCCTTACGGAAACACACTCTTGTCGCCCTCCTGCTGCGCCGTCCTGGCGGTGTCTGGGAGGCGCAGCCGGGCAGCGGAGGGGGCGTTACTGCGGCACGGACGGGATGGCAGGGGTCTCTGCCTAGGCTGGGAGAGGGGCCTAAGGAAAGGTAAACCAACTGGGGAATCTCAGTTCTGCAGTGTTTGCAGCATTTTTTTCTCCTGTTTTTGCTGTTGGTCACCCTCAGTTGGAACAGCAGGTTTTTATTATGGCTGTGCTGTCCATGAAACCAGCCTTCGTTTTGATGGAAAGGTGGGCCTGATCCTGCTGGCTGGGCCACACTCTGCTGACAGTTTACCTCTTGGTTCTGCTAACGTGGTTTCGTGCTGCCCAGAAGCTCGGTTATTGAGATCTAAAATACTCTGAAAATACACTTAACCCTGGTCTTCTTAAGGCCTGGACTAGCAAAGAAGTTGAGCCACCTGAAATTGCGATAGCTTTATAGCACGTGATCTCTTCACTGGTTTGGACTGGGGTTTTGTTGGGTTTTGGTTGGTTTGTTTTGTTGTTCTACACTTGAGGAGAAATGAAGTAACTTTCTAAAAGAACTGCTCTATTAGAGCTGCGTATTTAGGTTGAGGTTCTGAGGTGCTCATCTCTCTCTGTGCTGCTTTGCCCCCACCCAGCCGTTTTCCTTTACCCAAAGGCTGGTTTTCCCAAGTCTAAATCCTGGTGGGTCTTTTATTTGGATGCTGCCACCTTCAAACTTTTTTGGACTTCATCAGTACTGCATCTTGGATCATGCTGTGCACCATTAAGTTGCTTTTCTTGCTTTTAATGAGAGTATAGCATATGAGGGCCTCCCACCTACAGATGCTCTGACTCACATGAGAGCTTTGCTCCTGTGGGGTGTGTGCTGTCTTGCAAACTCACTTGGTAGATCAAAGACGTGATGTTACGAAAGCATGCCTAGAGGTTGGGTGCTTTACTGCTTTGTTTCCATTTTGAAGAAGCAGTAAGGTGCTCCCGAGGTGGACAGCAATAAGTGTTTCACTTCTTCCTCCTTCAGAGCGGGCTGTAGCATTTGGGGAACGTGGTCGAGCTGGGACCTGTTGTTCCACCAGCCAGTGCTGTGTTCGGGATTCCTTTTGCTTCAGGTGAATGGAGATGATGGAATTTGATGGGGTTTTTAATCAGCAGAATCAGTGTTTTTTGGGAGCAGGCTCTGCCTCACGGTGTGCATTAACCCTTTGTGGAGGCATTTCCATCGTTTGGAAACGAGCCCCGTTAAATCTGCATCCCTGCGGGTGGCTGGTGGGCGAGCCTGTTGGGACAGAGCTAGTGGTGACGGCTGTGCCATCGCTCTCCGGCCACCGCCTCCCTCCCAGCCTCACACATACCCAACTGTCCTTGAATCTCTCAAAATTCTCATTCTAGTGTGTATAAAAACTGGTTCCTACTTTCTCGTGTGTTCATCTGGATGCGGTTTTCTTCCCTGTGGTTTATTGAGCAAGAACTTATTGATGGATGACTAACCTCTTGGTATTGGAGACTCCTTGGTACGATTTTGACAAGATATCTGCTTCTGCCTGCAGTACTCTTTGATGCTTTGCTCCTTGATCTCCGTCCACAAAAGGCTCCGATCTGACTTGCTGGCATTAATTACCCGTGGTGGGTGCTGCGCAAGCACCCGGTAAGAGGTGGTGTCTATCCTGAAAAACCTCTTCATTTGAATTAACATGCAAAAAGTATCTGAAATAGCTGAGTCAAGGATGCTTCAATATGAAGATGGGGGAAATGAGACAATGTGTAGTGTCACAGATCTGCTCATAGTGAAGTTTGACAGGTTACCTGACAGTTAATATCTCTGTTAGTAAGAATCAGAGGTTAAAACAAAACAAACCCAACAAACCCGCCACAAATCAAAAGCCCTGTGGCACCCTCTGCACTGCAGGAGTCTTGTGCAGTGACTAATGCTTGCTCTGTGGCAACAAGACTATCCTGCTGATGTCTGTTGAATAAAACGAACGAACACGTAGCAGCATAAAAGCCTCATCTCCACCGTTCAATTGTGGCAAGACCCCCTTTGAGAGCACATTCCTTGAGCCTCTTTAACATATTTGTACGAGTGGGAGCCAAGCTGAACTCTTACCTGTTCTGGAACAAACAAATCTGTTCCCTTTGAACTGGTTGACCTCTTAAGATGCGACCGCTGAGCTGATGCAATTTTCATAGAAACGGGCTTTGAATGCGGCTCGCTACGGGAGACGGGCCTGTGCCCCATCAGTCAGTCTTCCTTGTCGTCTTTGTCATAGTTTAATCCTCTCTGGGTTTGGAAAAGTCTCTGCTAGCTTGAGGCAGGTGGAATTTCTGCTCATCAATTTCTATTTTAGGCCCCTGTATAATCTGTTCGTCTGAGGGAAGCGATGAAGAATGCGGCAGAGGAGCAGAGCCGGTGCCGCGGGATGGAAGGCACGGAGGGCAGGCATGGGGAGACCTTACAGCAGCCTTCCAGTCCCTAAAGGGGGCCTGCAAGAAAGCTGGGGAGGGGCATGTAGTGATAGGGCAAGGGGTAATGGCTTCACACCGAAAGAGGGGAGATTTAGGAAGAAATTCTTTACTGTGAGGGTGGTGTGGCTGCCCCCTCCCTGGCAGTGCTCAAGGCCAGGCTGGATGGGGCTGGGAGCAACCTGCTCTGGTGGGAGGTGTCCCTGCCCATGGCAGGGGGTTGGACTGGAT